TTTTTTACCTATCCCAAAAAAGAAATACTACACAACTTATAGGAACTATTATCTTCAGTGACATACAAACAGCTTTCCATCCACTTGGGAAGTCTATATTTAAGTCGGCTGGAAAGCGAACATAATTTGTCCGCTCTCCTATTCAGCAGCTGTGCAAGTGTGGGTGTCATTAAAGTTTCACCCATACACAAGACATTTTATATAAATAACATGGTTTATGAGTTGTTATCTATAATGCAGACATGCTTTGAGAAATTAGAAATCTGTGACTAAAAAATTCACACTTATCTGCTAAGCCTAGGTAGGTATGCCAGTAATTATGTTTAAATGTTTCGATTTCTCAATCTGTGTCGTGTTTAAACTGACCTGTATCTTCAAATAATGACAAATCACCATATATGATCAAGTAGATTTTAAGTGATACTTTTAAATTTGATAAATACAGCACTTTTAGTCTGGTAGATGTGTCAAGGACCTATTTGCAATTAGGTATGTACCGTGGCCCAGTATAGAGCAGAAGAAGGACTGGTTTGGTTTTTGGCACTTTATGGTCAGTAAGCTCGCCCCATCCAGTGCGAAAGAAGTTTTATGATGATTTTTCTCTTTAAAAAAACCAGATTTGAACATTTACCTAGAAGCTCATTTCCGCGCGCGCCTCAAAGAGCCAACAGACCACCACAGACGGGGCCCTAATAGGGCGGGCTGATTTTTAACCGGGGTTGTGGGGAAGCGTATTGAGGCACCGCGGCTTCGGCCCAAAGCAATAGAAAGAACGGGGGGGTTTTGAATCAGTAATAGTCTGACACTCTCTCCCGGCCTACCCCTGGACGGGAGAAATAATTTGATGATTTATCCTTCACCAAAAAAAAAGCCTAGAAGCTCATAACGTCAACCAAATATCACTCTTAGTATAAAGATGTGCTGGTGTTATGCAGATAAAAACAAACAAGAATTAATAATATGACGAGTATGATGACTAATGATAAATGTATAAAGATCAGCATCTTAACAAGCCCAGTACCGCTCATTGATTCGTTGGTTCATGAAGCTACACCTGTCATTTCATTATTCAGCAGTTTCCGTCTCTGATTTGTCTAACAGTACATGTACTCTGTATACCTAGCGATATTTTATCTATATTTGATTTCGTGTTCAATAACTTATAGAGATATTTATAAGCGCGACATTTGGATTTTGTGTTATTTTTTTTTCTATAAAAACTTTGCCCAACATTAGCGTTTTCCCAAACACATCACATCCAGACCCGTTTTTTATCAATTTTGATAAATTTCTCCTGCAATATCCTCTTACCGCTGTGTCTTTACATTATCTTCTTGTACACCTTTGATATCTTTTTCTTTATTCTCGTTCGATTAATCATTTAATTTATTTATCTCGGCAATATTTATTTAACTTCTCATTTTAGTACCTACACTACTACTCAAGTAGTATTTTCTTCAGCGAATAATTCCGCGTGCACAGAGCAATGCTCTCAATTTGTCGTAATGCGTTGCACAATTTTTGTTACGTTGCTCGAAGCATTCGGGCATTCGCTTAACCTTTGCACTTTTGCTTTTATTTGTTAGCCTATCTTTCTCTTAAGAAGTTATTTGGTATTTTTTTTAACGTAACAGCTAGTTGAGAAGCCTAAGCTCACATTTACCTAGATTTTAACACTAAGAGTTCTATAGATGCCTGTGATTTGCTAATGTTTATATGGCTTTCGTTACATGATGCCATTTTTACGACTGCATGTGAAAACTCTCTATGTTATGTCATTTGTCCTTTCTTATTCTATTATTGACTGTGTGTCATAATTAGGTACTGATTGCGTATGAGTGTTGGGGTAAAACCTGCCTTCAGGTTTAGAAAGGTTTAAGTAATTTTTGTGTATTAAAATACGCGTGGTTGCTTTGTACGGCATCGTGTCTGGATTAGTTTGAATTTTTTTATTCTATCTGCAGATACTTTATAAGATTCTTTACGCTATTTCGAAATAAAGCCATACCATTTATTTTTATTAGTTCAGACAGGCATTGTCGTGGTGGTCCGGAGGGTTCGAAACCTGGCAAGTACCAATGTGACTTTTTCCGAGTTATATACTTCTATGATTATTTAGACACCACTTACATACGGTGAAGGTAAACGTCGTGAGGAAACCTGAACTTATAATTCGTCTAATTATAAGTTTAAAATCGCCAACCTGCATTGAGCAAGCGTGGTGATTAATGCTCTAACCTTCTCCGTATGAGAAGAGGCCTTTGCTCAGCAGTGGGCACTTATAGACTGAAGATGATGAGACAGGCACTTAGTTAAGAGTACTGTAGAGATATCTGTAGAGACTGAAGAGGTTCGTATCGTATGACAACAGGAACTATCGTGCTCAAGGCAAGATGATTCTTAATAATTGTTTTATAGCTAATAATAAGTGTTTACCTGCGTGACCTTTGTAACACACATTCTCGCGTTACGACCACCGACTGCATATAATGTGATAATAGTTGCGAAAGCGTTACATATGCCGTGTAATTACCTACTAAGTATTACTGAGTGCTGGCGCGAGGTATGTTATGTCACGCTTCAAGGAACGCTGTGGGAAACAGTGGCTAGTCGCCTGAAGCTAACAGTATAGTTTGTCATGATTGATATGAATTTAGGAATTACGCTGCTTAGGAATGTGTTGAATCTTGATTCTAATTGGTTTGTGATCACAACATAGCTTTTTTTGAGGAGGGATAATCGTCAAATGACTTATCTCGCGAGAGGGATTAACAAACTCTTACTGACTAAAACCCCCCATTCCTTCTTCTTCTCCAGGCCCAGGCCTCGGTACATGATCGGGGTTGCGATCATGTACCGAGGTGTAATCATGTATCACAACATTGAACTAGATTTTAAATGCTATATAATTTTCTATTTTAATTTATTGTTATACCTAATCTAATAAGTCTAAGTCATTAGACTTAGACTTATTAGATTAGGTATCAGCACCACAAACTTGATTTCAATGACTAAACAGAATAAGCGGTACCATATCCTTTACGCGCCAACTTTTGATCCAAAGATTATTTTGACACTTCTTTATTCCCGCGTTTTTACAAAAGATGGCGTTGAAGTAAAAATTGAAATCTGCATTGAAAGTGTGGACGCGGTGGTGCGGGTCGAGCCGGGACGGGTCATGGTCTGTCGAGTGTGAACACAGCCTAAGTTTCTCGCCGACGTCGGCCTATTGAAGGGAAACTCGAAGATGACTGGCTGAGTGGCTGATAATTTGAAACGGAACTAAGTCGCGTAACGAAATATTTTTTAACTGCCGCCGTAACATTTTTGTCACGTAATATTAACGTGAAAATAATAACTAATTATTGTAGGCTGTAGGTATAGCTGCTAGATAAAGTCTTCGAATACGATTCAAATGGGTAAAATAACTGTCCTTTTTTCGTAGGATACTGTGGTGATTGTTGGTATATTGCTCGCTAAACTAAGTTTCGGCCTGCCACAGAGCAGGAGAAGGAACGGAGTGGTTTTTTATCAAATAACAGAAAGTAGGTAAGTTTTTGAAAAATACCTAGAAAAAATCTAAAATGTAATTCTTTGTAATGTATAAATGAAAATACGATTCTAACTGTATAATATTGGTAATTGTTTAAATAATTTATTTATTACCTAAGGAAAGACCCAATTGCCATTGTTTATGGTACCTTTACTAATGACAGCCAGTTTTATACCTACATTTTAGCGGGAGTATTTTTATCCAATCACTGTAGCTGTCAAAATAACGTCCAATACCGTGACTGGCCGTGACACTAGTTAATTCCCTATTGGACGAAAAGCAGTGAAATGCACACTAGCGCCATCTAATGAGAATAAAAGCGGTAACTTTCATTAAGTTGCTTAACACTGTTTTGCAATATTTTTGTAAACCTGGAAACGGCGATGGCGTAAAGGATTATTGTTTTTGCTGATTCGGGAAGGTTGCAAAAATACGATGAATATTTATTTTCAGTACCTAGACCTACACACGTGTGGTAATTGAAAACAAGTGTTATTTCGATTACAATTGAATTCAGTTTTGCTTACCTGCCTATAAGAACGATGTTGAAGGCGTTAAAATTCAACATAATAATATACCTAAGCGTTTCTTAACAAACAAACGGATACAATTACAATAAGTTAACAACGTTCATATTACAAGCTTGGGAAGTAGCGGCACCTTCGCTAAATACAATACAATGTTATGTACAATACAACACAATACAATAAATAGAATACAATACTTGTAGTTCCCACCCGCGGGTTTCCGTTTCAATTCGATCGAGTTGCCGCGTTTCGTTACAATTACATAGGTACTTGTTATGTGACAACAAGTAAATAGTAATGTTTAATTTTAATGGGAATAAAATGACATTATTTTTACTTCTTTACTAATATTATACAGAGGTAAAATTTGTAAGTTTGTATGTAGGGGGTAATCTTTGAAACGGCTGGTCGGATTGCCAAAATTCTTTCACTGATAGATAGGCTATAAAACATTACGCTACGATTAAATGGAGCCGAACAGCGGGTGAAACCGCGCTAGATTAGCTAGTAGTTTATAAGTAATTATTTTCGCTTATTTAGCTGGAATACACCACACATTTTGAATGAAAATTTTGGTTAAATAGGCTATTTTTATTATTTTATGTTATTATTTTTGTAGGTACACACTGTTTTGTCTAATACTTAGGTTTATTAAAACGATTCTCTCACTTTTATTATACTGTTATCTTGTTGTTTTTGTGTTGTAAGTAAATTACACGACATTACTCTTTTCTAAAACTACTAAGTACATCGGGGTGGTTTGTACCTTGACCTTGACTCTCCTCTCGCCTCACCCTGGCCAAGAGAAGCCAGATGATGATTCTCCTCCCTCAAAAAAATAGGAGTTTCGTGGCCCTAGTATCGACGCCACGTGTACCTAAATCTAGAAGCTAATACATATCTTGTCTTTTTAATTCCAGCGGTGAGCATGGTGGCTGGCGTTGCTGTGTACCCGGCCGGTTGGGGGGAGACTGCCGTGCAGGAGACCTGCGGACCTACCGCAGACCAGTATAATATAGGTAAGCTCCACAACATACCTATTTTCAGCCAGGGTTGCGGGGCAAGCGCAATAAGGCACTGCGGCCTCGGCCTAGAGCAGGAAGAGGAACGGGGTTTTTAGTCAGTAAGAATCTGACACTATCTCGCCAACCCAAGGTGGGAAAGATATTAGAAGATTTTCATTCCGCAATGAAGCTCACTTTTTTATGCGATACGATGGCAAACGAGCGTACGAATTACCTGATGGTAAGCGATCAACACTCATGGTCAAACGTCAGAGAAGCTACGAGTGCATTGCCGATCTTTTGGGGATTACGGTTTTGGATTTAGGGATTGGGGGAGGGGAAGGATTGGGCCTCTGGAGAGTGAGGTCACTCACAAGGCGAAAACAACGCTGTGGTTGTTTCACGCCGTCTTTCTGTGAGGCCACGGTCCCTGAGAACCCTCTCTCGTCTCACGCTGTGCGAAAGAAGTCATTTGATGATTTTCCCCTCACAAATAAAACCTACTTAAATGTCACTTCATAGCCGCTGTTAAAAACAAATGACACGTCAAACACCTAATATGACAAGGATAGATACATATCACGTTCTCTTTCCGAATTGGTAAACAATTGACGTTATCAGTGATGTCACGGTCACGCCCGAAATGAGAAGGATAGAAATAAAAATAGCTTTCTCTTTCTAATATTTGAACAATTGACATATCAATGACTTCATGCCTGACATGTCAAGAATAGAAAAATATAACATTCTCTTTTTGAATTTGTAAACAATTTGCAGATCGTTTAGTTACCTTGTGATGTCACTAGTCACTCACTACTGAAATTATAAGTAGGTATCTAGACATTGAGTAAAATATTTAATTTATATAATAATATGCCTTAATTGGCAAGCCAAAACTCCACATTTCATCAACAATATTTTTTTAGAGAGATAAATTAAAAAAGAGAGTAAAGAGTTAAATTAGATAAAAAATCTGACAGTATTATCATCATCCGTGCGTCACTGCAGGGGTGCCCACTGAAAATCAGTGCTGGGCGACTTGTATGCCTAGCTTACACTGAGTGGGTAACCCATTTAGCATGGCCATGTTGTAGCGTCTATTTTCTGTTTCTTCTGTTTTAATCTTTAACTCATGTTTGTCTTACTTCTACTGGCACACTTTTATTTTTGTCTTTTTTTATGCTGCATGGTGCCTGGTACTGAATAAATGTCTTTTCTTTCTTTCTTTCTTCTATTAAAAATAAGAATTTAAGTTTATATCTACCAACGGTATTTTATATTTCGTTATAAATAACAAGAGTCTACAAAAAATATTAACTAAATAGTTTTCAAGTGTCTCCTGAAAAATTTGGTCATAGCTAGTTTCCCAATTAACGTATTGGCTATACTTAAAGGACTTGACATCTTTGTGAAGTATGTCAGCATTGCAACTGCAATAGAATATTTATGGTACTCTTCACACACGGTTAAGGTTTGAGCATTAATCACCACCCTTGCTCAGGACAGATTGGCGATTTCAAATTATAAGTCCAGGTTTCTTCACGATGTTTCCCTTCAACGTAACTATGTCAGTGGTGTCTAAATAATCATAGAAAATTACATATGACTTGGAAAAAGTCATATTAGTTACTTGCCAGGTTTCGGACCTTCATGCATGAGAAGCCACCACATCGTAGAATAAATCGACTTTAAAACAATTTAAATTTAAAAATAGAATAGAGTCTTCCAATATCATTCGAAATGAATTAAGTAGGCAGGCTGTATGTTCGACACGACCTAGTTAGCTAGTTACATAATAATGGCCGATACATAAATATTTAATATATATTTTATAAACAAAATGTCAGAAGATGATGTAGATAGTTACCGACCTTCGTTCGTTCATTGTATCAACTATTAAATAAAGTTTAACAGCCAACTTGATACAGATTCGTAATCTGTAACATTCTCCGATATTAATGGGTTGCCTTGAATTAAATTTTAATTAATACCAGTTTAATAGTGTTGCTATTTTAAAAATATCTTTTTGTAGAAATTTATTGTGAGAACATGGCATTTTATTAGGAATCTAGGATGCACCGTTAATTGTATTTTTTTTAATAATTTTAATGTTTTATGATTGAGTTCTCTTTTAGTTTTAATTAACGTCTTGAGTAGGCTTGGAGATTAATGATGAAACCGTGTGAGGTAAGGTATTTGCTCAATAGTTGGCACTTATAGGCTGGTGTTGATAAAGATCAATTTTACCTGCACAAGACGGATTAAAACCGTTTTTTTTTCATGTCCAGTCTTTTTCTCGGACAAAGGACTTTCAGTCTTAAAACTCTGAAACAATTAATATTTATTTCCTTTCACCAGGTCGATGTCACATTCGCTGGGCGTACCTGCTAGCTGTGATAGGGTGTCTGGACGGCATCGTGCTGTCTGCCCTGGCCTTTATCCTGGCGACCAGACACGTGCGGCTGCAGCCAGACAGCGGGTACCCTCCACCTTCGTTATATAAAGGTAATTAATCTTTAATTCTATTGTTTCTCTATACAGCTGACGGGGAGGAAGAGTACAAGATCGCCAATATTTTACCACCCTGATTCTTTTAGTGGGTGTCCGTAAGAATCGATTAAGGGATAGATCTGTGTTCATTTTTCTGGTAAACAAGTGTAGCAGAGCCATGCTTCGGCACAAATGCGTTAATTCGACTGGAAAGATACCACGGCCTCACAGAAAACCGGCGTGAAACAACCATAGCGTTGTGTTTCGCCGTGTGAGTGAGGTTACCGGAGGCTCCATCCTTCCCCTCCCATATACCTATTATCCGAAACCTTAATCCCTAAAAAGCCGGCAACGCACTCTTCTGGCGTAGCGGGTTTTCATGGGTGGCACTGATTGTGTACTATCAAGTAATCAGACTGCTCGTTTGCCGCAACATCTCTTAAAAACCCGAGGATCTTGGTCAAAAAACTAAGCATGAGAAAACCTGACTCGTAGATACATGAACAGTACAAAGAAAACCAGTTTCGTTGTAAGACTATGATAGTACTAAAACCTTAAAAGACAAAACGTCTTAACAAAACAAGAGAGCATCATTATAACAATTATATGTATTACGCAACAAACACAGTATCGCTTTATGAGCGTATGTACAAGTTTCCACCCTAGTAGCCACGGACAACACGGAGCGACGCCGTGTTGCACACACTAGGTTTCTGTGTCACCAAGCTACTAGGGATGGTATAGATGGAAAAATGAAGTGGTCGATTTGTGTTGCTTTACCTACAGTGAGAGATTTTTTTAATTAGCAGATCAACTAATCATGTCGCCCGTGGACACTTATAATTCTACATTACAGGTGTCCATGGACGATGTCGACACCTGTCAGCAGGGTTTTCGTTTTTTTTGTCAGGAGAAAATCATCAAATGACTTCTACCGCCCAGGGTGAAGCGAGAGGAAGTGTCAGACTTTAACTGACTAAAAACCCTACCGTTCCTTCTTCTGCTCTAGGCCTAGACCGTTGAGCCTCATTGCGCCTATCCCGCTACCACGGCACCCGTCAAAAGGGTTGCCACTCAAATTACCAAAAAAAAGTGGGAACGCCCTGTAGTCATAATATTTTACTGCTCAGCTTGCGGCTGGCCCACAAGCTGTCATGCAACGGGTCTGGCAAAATGGGTTTAATTCTTACACGGGATAACTTTATGAGTATTGAGTAATCCACAAATCGTTCTTTTGAGTCTGGGTTATGGTAATGTTTTATTTAGTCATAAAATATTTGTTATTGCTATGTGAGCACGATACGCACGCACGTACAACCCTAATTAGATGAAATGGATTCACTCATTCGTTCAGTAGAGAGTGAATGTGAGTGAAAGTGCATAAATTCGGAGATATCATTCATTATGTGTAAACAATAGGAAAAACTGCGCGTTACTGAGTTACTATGTCATACCAAAACTGTGGGAATTGTAAGTAGTAATGAGAAAGTTTGGTTTCTTACGATTTGGTAGCGTTTTTTAGAGGTTAAAAACATTCGTGGTAGTCATGCCGAGCGTACGGCGCGTAGCGTTCCGCGCGCGCCTCAAAGAGCCAATAGACCACCACAGACGGGGCCCTATAGAGCTGATGTTCAGCCAGGGTTGCGGGGTAAGCGCAATGGGGCACCGCGACCTCGCCCCAGAGCAGGAGAAGGAACAGGGGGGTTTTTAGTCAGTAAGAGTCTGACACTCCCTCCTGCCTGGCCCTGGGCAGGAGAAGTCATTTGATGATTTTCCCCTCACAAAAAAAAAAAAAAAATTAAGCAGACGGATTACTTGATGACGGCAACGGAAGAGTTAGGAGTGCGTTGCCGACCTTTTAGGGATTAGGGTTTTGGAGTGTAAGGGATTGGGGGAGGGGAAAGATTGGGCCTCCGCTAACCTCAATCACACGGCGAAACACAACGTTGTGGTTGTTTCACGACGGTTTTCTGTGAGGCCCTGGTATCTCTCCCCCTCCCGTCGAGCCGACCCATTCGTGCCGAAGCTTGGCTTTCCCAAACTTAAAAATGTTCTTGGATTTTGGTCGAAATGTTCTTTTTATGGGAAATAGTTTTTCGGTTTTTGATTTTGGCCAATTAAAATACCTCGTGTTAAGGTTTTAAATTGGTATAGGTATTAGCTTTTGCCAGCGGCTTCAATAGCATTATGTTCGGGGTAATATTGGTTCTTCTTGCCTGATTTGGAACAGAGAAAAATTTGAACTGAATACAGAATACCTTCATGTAGACGACGTTATACTTATTAGTGACGGTTAGGTTAAAAAACCAAATACGGACACTTTTATCAGATTAAGGGTAGGTAAAGTTGTTTTCATGATAAAACAAAACATTTGAATAATTTGCCAACAGTTACAGTGGTTTACAATAATCACAGGGTTATGAAGGGGTTCCGTTTCGACCCCTTCAGTACGTTTTATGCATTAGTAGAGAGTGAAATGAAAAAAATAATTAATGGCAGTGGAAAAAATTAAAAAGGAATGTGTTTTTCGTTTGTTATAAAGTAACATAATGTATTTTGAACTTAATTCGAGTTTATTAGGCAAACGGCAAACCCTTGATTGTAGATAAATGTCATAGGATTGAAATTTGAATTGGAATTTTGATGTGAGACTGTTTCAAGGAGATAATATTACAGTATACTTATCCAAGTTTGGCGAGTTAGAGAATAGTTAAATAGGTACTGAATAAAGTACATCATTCCGATGTTCAGCCAGCGGCCTCGGCCTGGAGCAGGAGAATGAAACGAGATTGTTTTAAGTCTATGATAGTCTGGCACTGACGTCACCCTGTGCGGGAGAAATTATAACTTACAAGTAATTACGATGATTTTACCAATCAAGAAACCTCAAAAAGTATAATATTAACAGGCCTACGGTAGCGGAGGATTTGCCTTCAATAGTTTTCGGTCGGCAGACAAAGGCTTAAACCGAAAGGTTGAATCCAAACAGGTAATATTAACCGTAGTTATCCGAGATAAAAAAATGTTCGCTCCACATAGTCCGTGGCGGTCTACTATGGTTTTCAATTACAAAGCATGTAAGTAAGTAAGTAAGTAAGTAAGTAAGTATATTTATTTGTTTAAACATGGTATACATACATTGCATGCAAGATATTACAGTAGAAAGAAAGTTCAAACATGTTCAGCCGCGTGTCGTGGCGTACAAATAGTTGAATGGCGTACAATTGCTGGGTTTCAAACCGGGACTACACTTATTAAATTCATATGATAAAATTGCTATTAAAATCTTAATACATTATCAATTCAATTATCAATTCTATTCAATGTCAAGTTAGTTATTAGTTAAATTCAATGTCAATACAATATCAATTCAATGTCAATTTAATTATCAATAAAAAATAGTTTATACAATAAAATAAATTAAATGACATAATAATCAAGAAAAATTATCCTCTTTCATAAATTCAGAAATACTATAATAAGATCTCTCTATTAATAATTTTCTTAATTTCAATTTTAGGCCAGATACATCCAATAATCTCCATGACTTGGGTAATTTATTAAATATGGTAGGAGCCATGCAAAAAATACTCTTATGCAAAAGAGCAGTTTTACCGCCGCGAACACAAAGCAGAGTATTGTCACGTCTATTCCTTGGCACAGCATCAGACAAACGTTGGAATAAGTTAGGATGACTTACAGTGAACATTACCGTTTCCAAAATGTATAATGAGGGTAATGTCAATATTCTATGCTCTTTAAAATAAGATTTGCAGCTGTCTGTTGTTTGAAGTCTAAACATCGATCTGATACATCTTTTTTGGGCCCGAAACGCTACTTCATTGTCCGTACTATTTCCCCAGAAAATTATACCGTATCTTAAAATGGATTCAGCCAATCCATAGTACGCAGTAATTAGTGCATCTGCATTGAGAACCGCTGCTAGTTGTTTCAAAGCGTAGGCTACACTACTTATTTTCTTACTCAGAGCTTCTATTTGGGGCTTCCAACACAACTTAGCATCAATAATAAGACCCAGAAATTTTGTTGTGTCAGTTGCATTTATATTAATATTATTATACTGAACATTAGGATTGGTAGCTGTATATGTACGCTGTCCGAAATGAATTACATTAGTCTTTTTTAAATTAATGATTAAATTATTATTATTAAGCCAATTTATGATAGATATAAGAGAATTATTAATGTCATGTTCATACGTACTTTTGTCATTACAAGCTATAGTCACAGTGCAATCGTCAGCAAAAAGTGTCATTGGTTTGTCAACAGCTTTAGGCAAGTCATTTATATATAAAGTGAACATCGGAGGGCCCACCACACTGCCCTGCGGTACTCCGTATTATCTTCTCGTTCCTCAGATCTTACAATTATCTCACGTTTGTTGCAAATTTGATATATTTCGGTAACCTGCTTACGTTTATGAAGATATGATTTTATTAATTCTAAGACGTTACCCCTGATACCATACGCTTCAAGTTTCTCTGCTAGGGAATTGTAATGCACACAATCAAAAGCCTGTGTCATGTCACAGAAAATGGCGCATACAGGTGTCCTCTTATCTATGTTTAGCATTACATTATGTAGAAAATCATAAATAGCCAGATTTATACTTTTGTTTTTGCGAAATCCCTTTTGTTCGTCAGCTAAAATGTGATATTTTTCTAAATAGTGGTTGATTTCTCCCGATATATATTTTTCGAAGACTTTGGATAACACTGGTATAATCGCAATCGGTCTATAGTTTAACATCAATTCGTGATTTTCCTTCTTATAAAGCGGTTTTACTATAGATTTTTTTAATGAATCAGGAAAAGTGCCTGCGCTTATACAAAGATTGATAATAAAACATAAGTGTGTAGATATTATCAATGCAACTGCTTTTAATATTTTTGTGGCAATACCATCATAGCCAACGCTGTACGTGTTTCTAAGTTTCATTATAATATAGTATATGTCATGTGGTGTAGACGGAGCCATAAACATAGACTGTGCTCTGCTATCGATCAGTGACGTTGAGTTCGTTCCTGCGTTACTTGTTGGCTGGATTTTATCGATAAAATAATTATTGAATGCATTGGCTATGTCCTTCTGCTGAGTGATTTTTTTATTTTCAGAATTGATGCAAGTAATACAAGTTCTCAAGTTTTGACTTTTGGACTTATTGATGATTTGCCATGTGGTTTTTGATTTGTTATTTGACGTTTTAATATTGTAAGTGTTTTGAGCCTTTTTAGTTAAATTAATAACTTTTTTAAGTAATCTTGAATAATTTTTGAATTTAACTCTGTTATATTGATTTGGTTTTAACCTGTATTTCCATAGAAGATTCCTTTTATTTTTGCTACAGATCTTAATCCCACGTGATACCCAAGCGGGTTTTTTAACTATGTTAACGGTAACAATTTTATTAGGGAAACACAAATCATAAAATAATTTGAAGGTTTCTATAAAACAGTTGTAAGCTGCATTAGGATCTTCCATCTCATACATATCGAAGAAGGAGAGACTGTCTAAACAAGATTTGAATTTTTCTATATTTTCTGGACTGTAATCTCGTGTAACTTTGCGATAATATTTATGAGCATCCTTTTTTCGTACGGGACACTTTAAAAGCTGTGCTGTGTGGTCGGATAGCGCGAACTCCACTACTTCAATCTTACAACGTTTACCAAAATCATGAGCAAAATTGTCAATACATGTTTGGCTCGTAGTCCGAGTAGGTTGCCTTAATGCTAGTTGTAAATTCGAGTTTAAGAGAATACATTCAAATTCGGTTGATTGCTTAGTTTTCTTTAAAATGTCAATGTTGTAATCACCAGCTATTACTATATTCTTACACCGTTGTTTGGATAAATATTTTAAAAGAATTTCAAGTTTATCAAAGAAGTCATTTATGTTTTTTGAGTTCGGAACTCTATAAATACACACAAATATAATATTATAATCAGTCAATTTAACTGCACAACATTCAAATATGCTTTGTGATGACATTTTTGTTATGGTGGGCAATTCTTTCCATTGTAGATCACGCTTAACAAGGATACATGCACCTCCTCGCTTACTCGCCTTTCTACTATAACATGCCGCTAAAGTGTAGTTAGGTATGTGTAACTGATTCTCACTGCCAGCCACCATGAAATGCTCAGAAATGCATATTACGTCTACATCAATATCTCGGTCGGAGAGCTCACTTAAACAGACTGAGAGAGCGTCAGCTTTACTAAGGAGACCGGCAATGTTTTGATGTAATGTACATAAATATTTAGTCAAGAAAAAATGTATCCTTATTTGTTAAATTATTATCTAGGATTATTTCAATTTTATTACTTTCGCTATTATTATTATATCGTATGTCATTTATTAAATTGTGTATGTCCTTAAATATAATATACATTCCATGGTTACTTATTGTACCAGTTCGTTTATCATATACCTTGTAGTCATAAGTCAAGTTTAAATTACTGTCTAACAGATACAAATGTTCATAAGTCAATACATCTAGATATAAAAGATTATTGAAAGTTTCTACTCTACTGTTAAACAAATTGGCATGGTATCCGTATTTATAGGTCGGTGCACATATGATCACATTAGTATAATTTATGTTGTGAAACACTTCTCTTATTTGGAATATGATTTCAAAGTAGTTATTAGTTTTCTTAAAGTCTTCATCGCCTAAAAGAACTATACAAAAGTCATTCATTGTAAATTTCACAAGTTTTTCCTGTAAGCCTTGCAGCAGGTGTTGAGTTTTCCCGTTCGATATCAAATAATGACAGCAATCAAATGAGCTTGCGAACTTATCCAGCATTATACTGCATATGTTGTTTTTTTTATTTGTACTTAATATACACATCTTATTTTTATGGCGAACGAGTGGACTTTTCTTGCGCATACTGGGAGTGTTATGTGTATCTTTTTCCTCTATATCCTGATTGCTAGTAGAACTTCTTTTTGAATTTGTGTCTAGTTTCGGTTGTTCCACACTAACAGATTTTTCGGCATTCGGCATGGCAGGGTTGTTATTATTATTAGTAAAAAAAATTGTTTTTGTTTGCGAGGAAAGTCATCAAATGACTTCTCCCGCCCAGGGCCGGGTGGGAGCCTCATTGCTCATAGGGCCCCGGCTATTGGCTCTTTGAGGCGCGCTGTAAGAAAGAAGTCATTTAATGATTATCCTCTTACAAAAGAGGTTTTTTTCACAATATTTTTCTTTACCGTTTGTCAGCGGTGTGTAAATAATCTGTATGTATACCTACGCATACCATAGATAAATGTGTGTCGCATACAACAGCTGCACAGCTTATGAATATGCTATCGTCTCTCTAGTCTCGACAGTCGACACAGTTACAGCACGGTTCACGGTAAACTATCGGAATTCAAAACAAGTCACAAATGACCACTTATGTACGCTAACAACTAACTCATAGCTAGGCAAAAGCACATGAAGTCTCACCAGTTCTTCAAATTATCCTTATTTTGAAATATTTTCTTATTTTAACTTCTTCCTTTTGTTATCCTAAGCTACTTGTATTGCATCAATTTTAACCTACCGGTCGGTCAGTAACCTATCTATGTCACTACATTATGAGTATTAATAGTTTTTCTTTACCTTTTGTTTTAAAGGCGATTTTTTTATTCTATTTTCCCTGTCGATAATAAACTCCTTTGCTTAATCTTCTTTCTATTTTTTAATATTAAAAAATGACAAACCGTCCATTCAATCATTCGACATTTAAATTCAGAGTTGGAATTATTGCCACATGATTTTCACCTCTTCTCATAACGTGAGTGAAAGATTTTCAACCTTCCACTTATGTATTAAAGTTTAAAATCAATTACGAAAGCGTAATTTTAGAGCCTGAGTACTAGTATCGACAGTCATTTCTCAGAACCTAAGTAGCCTATAGGATGTTGTTCAAGTGTTATGTGTCAAAGCGAAGTTAGTGGTTCATACAGCCTACTAGAATGCAGCAGAGAAGAGAGAAAGAGACAGAATATTTGTTAACCGTTATAATTAATGCAAAAAGGAATTTAATCCTGCCAGTATACAGTCGAAATTATCAATAAGCTATGTGCAGTTGTCTCTTTTCTTTTCAAACTACACTTAATACATATACACTGAATAAAATATCATTTAATTTTGTCTTCCAATAACATTATTTCCTTTGATTACAATTTAAGATTGAATTCGACACAATACTTTGAATTCATTCACGGCAAACCAGTTTATAAACTACTAATGTATCTATAAATATGTGTAGGCATCCGTATAATTATATTCTGTGGTATTTAGCCAAGTTTACGATGTTTTTATACGGTCACGACGGACGCTAAGCTTACATCGACACATTTTACCGTAGTTACCGGAGTTTGTCGTGACCAACCAGTATTACCAAATACGTACGAAACACTTTCTTTCGTGCCGTTTGCGTATCAATTGACTCACCGTGGCTTTGTCTTTTTACAGGTGAGGTTAACAACGGGTACGTGACCGACGCGACATCTGTCTCCGGCTCGCGGAAGTCATTGGCGCTCCAACCTGTTCTAATAATGCACCCTCACGCTACCATGGACATGGATACGTACTCACACTACTCCGGAAGAACTGCCAGATCAAAACACGGCATCTATGCCAACACTATGCATAATTATCAACTTTAAATTCTCTTACAAAGCAACCTATCTCACGCCAAACTCCGGTGTTGATACTCTCTACAAAGTACCACTACTCGCCGCAAGATGGCGTTATTCTTAAATTATTTCTGAAAAACAAATTTTAGATATTAAGTTTTTGTAATGTTAGATAATTAACGTAGAAGTGTAAATATCTTTAATGTTTTTGTACTTAAATATATTTTTGTATGATCTGTACAATACGTAAGTGTTCCCGTCCGGTAATTGTGAAAGTAACTGCCTTAGTTAATTAAACAAGCAAATGTTTATAATAATTATAATTAGACTTTTTAGGTTATCTGTTGTACCTCGAGACATCAACGAATTTACAACGACTTATGATAATGTGCCTTGTAGAAAGCGAAGAGTACTTAATGTTGTTATTAATTTAGTAATTAAATAATTTCTTAGAAATGGTGTTGTCGTTATTTTTATCCTTTAATATTTAATATCATGCTAACACTACAGATAAGATATACCAAGAAGGCAAACTGATTGTTTTGGTTGTCATTCAACAGGCGTACTCCTTAAAATACCAGTAACGCGCTTGTTACTTCTCTGGTATCAAGGGTGGGCGGCGCCGGCGCTGATCACTTGCCATCAGTCTCGTTTGCCACCTATTCCATAAAAAAGAACTATGACCCTCTAACGATTGAATGCTACAACGTGTAAACACTAAAGTAAGAAATAGGAAATAGTCTATTGGTGCCTAATAAAGGAATTGCCACTAGCTTGAAGAAATGTGGTCTATATTGTTATCAAGGCGATATCACCCAACAGGTGAACAACTGGATAAACTATTAATGTCTGTATAATCAAAAACTCAACGACAACATTCATGTTTTAGCGCCTTATCAAAATAGCAGAGCAAACATACACGATCCGTCCAATTTATTAAACTACCTTCAGGCGTCGTGTTATATCACTATTTTTAAGTGTGTTCGCGTAGAGTAAACTATTACTATTATTAATAATTTATTAATCATATACTTTTTATTACTATTTTATAAGATGTATATGATTATTGTATCATTTTTGGTGTTCTGAAAATTATATTTATCTTGGCTGACATCTATTTTGTCACTATTCGACTGAACAGTACAATGCTAAAATAAATAAAAAGTGTTATTGAAGTAAATATTATTTATTAAGTGACCAAACATCAGCGTGTGTAAAACCGTGGTTCTCCATACAAACGTGGGCAGGTAGGACGTAGCGCGCTGCTAGCGACATCTGTTGTCGACGGGTGGGAGTTAACCCGTGACGACCCGGGTCACCTATGAGTACCTGGAATTGGAAAATAATTAATTTAATTTAAATAATTTATTTTTGTCTCAGACAATGTGGTCCTTATTATCAACAACAAAAATTAGTTAGTAACGGTTTGTTCGTGCGCCTGATGGTTTTTTCAGAGCATCAACTTGCGGTTGTCACAAAAATTATATATGTAAGAATTAACTATATGTGTAACTATGTATGAATTTGACTTTCAGCCCCACTTGCTATACTTTACTCGTGTAGTTAACATCCATTATGTTAATTAATTAAATCTTGTTCGAGTATTTTTCCTGAAGTCCATCCACCATCAACCCTGGTTGTACACGTTTCCGTACACGGTTTGTATTTCTTTTCACTGACAAAGGTAGTTTTCTATGATCAGTGTTCACAGCTGGCCTGACCTTTATCACTAAGCATAATGCATAATCTCCACACTGGGTAGAGAGCGAGAGCCCTGATGTATTTAAGTCTCTGTAAAATCGCCTAAAGAGAATCTTAAAATAATCTACACTTTGGAGCGAGCAAATCGCTTTACTAAGAGGATTGACACTAAGTATATTCTTTATAATTTAGTTTCACGTTCAAAAGTGCCTGTAAGTGTCTAAAAGAAATAAATGATTTTTACTTTTGACTTTTTGACTTTAACATAATTATGTATGTTGGACTATTTCCGCGGTTGCCTCATCATCGCATGGTTGAGACTTATAACAACATACATTTTCTTAATAAAAACATATTTATTAAAGAAGGATTAAATTGATACAGCTCTTAGAGGTCGGTTGAGTATTTTATGTAAAAAGTGCCTACCTATCACTTAATTCTTTTTCGGAGTGTCAGTCTTACAAGATAAAAACCTACCCTTTTTTGTCCTGGGTTGGGGCAGTGGTATATTAATGCGCTTGCCCCGCCACCTAGCTGAACATTGACACAAATTGTGCACAATCATGGTAGTCTAAAGGCTCTTTGAGGAGCGAATGGAAGGTAACGCGCCGCCATTCTCTTTATGGTAGCTTCACGTCCGCAGACCCATGCTCACGGTGACTGGTGGATGCGGCAGCTGGAGCGTTAAATAATAAAACTCTAGCTACTGTTTTAATATGGGATGCATAGAATAATTGGTATGAATGAAGTATGTGAAATATAGATATTCAATACTACTGAAATGAACACCTTAAATCTAACCTTTCGATGATAAAAAAGCTTTTATATTATGTAAGTAAATAATGTGCCTTACCGTTTTCCCACCTTCAGCGCTAATTCTGTTCAGCCATTCAAACAGTAGACTCGCGAATTCTTCATTATAAAACATATCTCCTATAAGTATTGTATCAAAATCTTCACAGCAATCTCCGATTAAATTATCTGTACTAGTTTCAATAGCGACGTCATTTAATTCAGCATTTATTTTTGTAGCAGTAACGGCAACTGTTAAATTGAACAGGTATTTTGTCAGTAACATCAAGCGGGGATGTAGCTCAGTGGTAGAGCGTTCGCTTTGCATGTGAAAGGCCCCGGGTTCGATCCCCGGCATCTCCAAACTTTTTTGAGTTTCAAATATTTTTTTTTACTATTTTTATGTACCATAATTAGTGTGTTATTCGAAACTTACAACTATCGATGTCGTTGGCCATCACTTTTTTCGCTCCTACTTTTGCAGCGGCGATACTTCCTGCTCCACATCCACAGCCAACATCTAAAATGGAACGATTCTTGAATTGATCGGCGTTGTCCAAAATGAATCTGAAATAAAAATATTTTTATTGTAAATAAATAAAATATTTAGTAAATAAAAACGGTGTAAATAAGAAAAGGATTATTAAATAAAAACGTCGTACATTGTAATTTTCCATGAATAGCGCCATCTATACTGTTTAATTTATACTACTAAGACAGACACTGACCAACAAAATACATTGTTATCGGTTCCTGTATACCGAGTGCACAGACTAGATGGCGTCGGACATTCTTTTGCATAATAATAAAAATTATTCATGATACATCTCATCGTATGCTGAAGTATTAAAAAAAATGTTAGAAAAAGCAAGACTATAGGAATTATAAGTATTTACGTAACACGAATCCAATTAGATAAATTTTTATGAAATTATAGGTCGAAGTACAGCTAGCTTACTAAAGTCGATCAAATTCATCAAGACAATTTCCTACTTGCACATTGCACCAACAAATTTATTAAGTTTTAAAGATCCTAAATAATAGGGTATTCTTTACAACTATTACTAAAAAATATTAAGGTTAATGTACCAAACTAAAACTAAAGTGCTAATTGGCGCCAAATTACTGTAATAAAACAATACAAAGATAGTGTTGTACAAATTCTAGGAACTTGAATTTTATCACATTAAGGCGGCATTCCATCGTGTCTACCTAGATATATAAGATATAGTTTTGTTTCAAGTGTCAATCAAAGTTCGCGGAAATATTTAGCAAGTTTGAAACAATTATCGAGTTTACATTTCGATTCTAATGATGCACACTTCTCAAGTTCTTTGAAACTAGGAGTATGTAGTACCTACTTACTTAAATTAGTAAAATGGGCGGAAATACAATATTTAAATTCGATGATTCTTAGAAAAAATCACAATGATGTGTTTATATTAAGTACTTAGGTATCTCGTCGTTATGGTGAATCTGAAAAGCTATATATAAAATGTTAGGTAAGTACCTATTGAATTAAATGAGAAGAAAGTTCCAGAATTAAAAGAAAGTTATATCTAAGTATATTTTTAGCACGAATGAGTTAAGAATATATTTAAGTGTTCGTAGACAATTTTCCGGTAAAAGAAAATAGGTACAAGTGAATTTTGCATTTCAAATGAAGTTGCCTATATACTTAATTTAAAAGTTCATAACAAGAACAGTTAATTCGTTCCAGCTGATTGAGGGGTTCCACACAAACGTGGGCGTATCATGAGAAGCCCTGGCACTGCTCCAGCTCAGAGCTATAACTAACTTGATATTCCGAGAAAACATTAACATTTCTAGCGCTCAGACTAATCCAGTTATACTGAGAATCCTCCCTTAGAGGGGGACACTGGAAAGTCACCGCCCAGCACGGCGCCCCCTAGGGGTGGTTCTAGGAAAACAGATAGACTTATTGTCGACAACACTGCAGTTTTCTCGGAATTTCTCGAAACGTTTTTCTTCCAGGGATCGCGTGTTATTGTTTCGACGAATGTTTGTCGTTTTCAGATGAGATTTCGTATTTATTTACGTAAGTAACGTAGAATTATATTTATTTATGCAAATCCTTAATTTGCGTTAAGTATTAGATATCTATCTATTACAAAACAAAAGAATATTGTTATCGAGTTTCTAGATGAAATATGCAATGTTTATGGCAAACAAATATGTTTATTTTGACTCGTTAACTAATTACAGTTATTAACTTATTACGTTATGGAAATGAAGTAAATTTTACTAACTTTTAAACTTTCGCGTTTCATCTTAAGAACATTATATTTACGCGGGTATTAACGCGGAAAATTATAATTTGAATACCTTGGTAAAAGTTGTAGTAAATTGAGTTTTAGTTGAAGTAAATTTTATTATCTGTGCAATGTTGTTATATGACTTTTTAATATGGTAAGTAAATATTTCTAAATTGCTTTGCTTGCTTCTTTATCTATCAACATCAGATGGTTGCGCAATGTAAATAAAATGTACGTAATAATTATTTATCTCTTGTTTTTAACTAACGATAAATTCCTTTCTTTCTATCTATCTCTTGACACAGATAACTTGACCTGTTTTTCCTACACTGATATTGGATAGTTTCTCTTTTTAAAAATATATTGTTTTTTCATCTTTTAATTACAGTAGCATATTTAAAAGTAAATAGGTACAGACTCATCCTTGCATTCAACTGATCTGACAATATAAATGTTACGGGATTGCGTTTCAAGCGTAATAGTGTACCACGACTAGGAGCTGGAGACAGATGGGGGGGTTTAGTCGGTGAGTCTTCAGAACTTGTGAAAATCCCCAAATTTACTCAGCAGTGGGCACTTATATGATGATTTGATGATGAATGTTTATTTTGTCCTATCCGTACGCCCCCTTTGTTGGAAGGGTAAGTTGTTAGCACAAAACATACAAGACAGACATTCCGGCTTGCTTTATATTCACGAAACCACCTTACACATAGCAACAAAGGTAATTTTTGAATCTCTATCAAAACCGTCTGGAGTCTAAGACCTTGTGTAGTTCATTCGCGAACTTGTCCCTCTCTGGGTGAAGGACACGACCTGTGAGGTCAAGGGCGTGACCTCTTGTGATTCACCCCGACGAGGCGAGACGAGCCCCGGCCACAGGGTTGAATCATCCCATATAATATTGACGACAGCTTATCAACCTACCTATCTAAGTTTAAAAGATTATCAACTCTATCACTTTGAAATTAAAGTCGTTAATTCATTGAAAATAATTGTAGGATTGGTGTATGTTGATTTGCTGGCGACTGCTCATAAACCTACCTATCTAACTTTATAAGATTATCAACCCTATCACTTCGACAGTAAAGTCTGAAATCCAATGAAAACAATCGTCGGATTGGTGTATGTTGATATGCTGACCTTTATAAGTAAGTCCTTAGTATTTGTTATGGTAACAGTTTTCAATACAGTCATTCCGCGTACAAACAGTATGCGGTAATGAGTCAGTTCAGTTTAATCGCTTCGTTACTAGATTGCTTATAATGTTTAATATTATATTATCTGTTATGTAATTGAGAAGGACGTTTAATATGGAGGCTAGCTGAAGCAGAAGCCGCAATCTCTTATTTTGCCTTTGTTTGTAAAGACTGCCAATTAGTTCACGGGCCTGATGACAAGACACTAGAAACTCGGGAGGAGTTACCGGGGGGTTGCCAGCCTTTTGGGGATTAGGGCTTTGGAGATTTGGGGATTGAGGGTGTAGCACCACCCTAGTTACCCGAGCAACAGGGTAAATTTTGTAACACAGCAGCAGAATCAATTTGGTCACCTCTATGAGGATTTACAGAAATAAGTAATAATAAAAACAGTGTAAATGTAAAATTAAAGAGTATGTTTTAACAATTTTCATAGTTTTTTCCTCCTAAAAACCAATATTGCATGGTCTCGCCTTGTTTCAACTTTTGTTGCAATCAAGGTTCAGTTTACACTTACGTTCATAACAATATTATTAGGACTATTAGGTACTACTCCCATATAATAAACGGAACTGCACCAAATACACACTCATACGTAAAGTAGCAGAGATAAAGTTGTTATCAGACAGATAGATACTATATTATTATGTAGATGGAAATCTTATCTGTAGCTTAGTCATAGGGTCACACGGTCCTTATAACGCTACAGCGATAGTTGCATATATCTTAAATATCCTACATATACAATAAAGAGGAAAAATTTGATTGTATGTTTGTTTTCAAGAGGCTTTCTTTCTTTTCATTTTGTTAATCCTACAGGATCACTACATAATACAGAAAAATCATAATCACACGCGATCGAAGCTGCAAGGAAAGTGATATAAAATAAGGTTAAAATAATAAATGTGATCGAAACTTTTTGGAGCCGATTTTTTTTTATTTGTTTGCACTGGCCATTTTGATGCCAAAAAGAATTTGACTCTGTAGGTATTTTAAATTTTTATTCTTTAAAATTGAAATCCAATGCGAATTGGTATTTTTTAATTAAAGATATTCAAAAGTTTTTATTCATATCACTGCCACTTACAAACTCACAAACTTACATGACCTCTGAGTTTGTTTCGGCATTTCTTCTCAGAGTAGTCAGATAGGAAATGCCGGCTTCATCTAGTTTTTTACATATAATTTGACGTGTAAAAGTGCCGTTTTATGGCCTATTTGCAAAAATAAATTAATTGTTTCATTGTTTACAAACATACAAACTTACAATTTTTTTTATAATATTAGTATAGATTACTGGAGGAGGAAAAGAATCATGAGTCATTCGTCATATCTTTTACGCAAGAACGAGTACTTGACTATTTACAAGTTTTCAGGCTAAATATATTTCTATAAATACATAAATAATGTTAACTAAGTAAATTGTGATTGTGACTAAAGAAAGCTGATTTATTTATTTATATACAAATATACACATACAACATTACGGTTTATGCCAATAGGTTGTACCTACTGTTAGCTAATGTAATTGCCTGCCGGGGCTGAGGGTTAAGCGTAACGAGGCACCGCGGCCTCGGCCTAGAGCAGGAGAAGGAACAGGGGGGTTTTTAGTCAGTTTAGGGTTTGAGTCTGACACTCCCTCACGCCTCACCCTGGGCGGGAGAAGTCATTTGATGATTTTCCCCTCACAAAAAAAGCTAATATAATTGCCGTGTGAGTGAGATTGCCGGTGGCCCTCATCTCCGATCCTCCTTATCCTGAAGACACTCTAAAGCTCAGCAATCCACGTATATAAATACAGGGAGTCCAAAAGTAAATTAATTTGACGTTTCAATAGAATAAAATATTACATAATTATAATACTATACTTTTATTCATCGATTTGTTGATACCTACACAAAATTTTGAATATTTTTGAGACTAAATTAGCAAAAAATTAAATATTGTTACGTTGTCACTAGGAGTTTTATACAAATTTCATAGTAAAAATATCATTTTTGACATTTTGATTAAAGTATTGAATTTGAGTAGTTGGAAACTACCGTTTTCCATTATGGGCGACTGGACCTGTTATAAGTCATGGGCAAATACA